GTGAAGGTTTTGTTGGGCATAATTAGCCTCTTTTTTCTGTTTCGACGTAAGCAGGTTGTACCATAGAGGTAACTCTAAGACCAGGAGGTCCCGAAGAAATGAGCTCAACTTTTTGGCTCGAAACATAGGAAAATCTACTAACCCCTCATTTTATCTGCCAAACTTTCATATCGAATCAAAATAAACATAGTGTATTACTGGAATTTATACTAGAATGGGGTACGTTAGTCGATTTGCTTGGAACCAATAGGCTAGTCAAGTAGTGAGCCAATTTAAAATCGTTAGTTTCGTTGGTTGTACCGTTTTGACAGATGTTGTTTTCGTTTTTACGACACTACACCGGTGTAGTGTAAGCACCGACAAAACGACATGAATGACCATAGCAAAAGCAATAAAATTTCTGACCAAAGCACACTACTGACATCTGGCTCCATGTTCGCGGGAAACATTTAGCTAAGTCATGAACCCGCATGCAAAAATCATGAATTGGTTCGTGTCTGATCTATTCTGGACAAATTATTTTTATCTAGATCAAAAAATCCTATGGTTTTGACAGTTTGGATCACTGCACATTTAAATCGACCGTTTACGAATTTCGGGCATAAGTCAAAATTAAGTGTCATGTCGGTATGTCGGTGGTGTAAACAGCAATAAGCGCGAATCATTGACAGCTCATTATCTTTTGTTTGTAAACAAAGGTGCAATCGATAGCAACACCCTAAATTTTTGCGGTGTTCGGCGGTTCAACACCGGTGTACCCTCATAAACGCGAACCATAACTTGACCTTACCGAAAATGGTTAAAATATATTTCAAAAAACAGAATATTTCCATCTTTTTTATATATTTAACGAATTAATGATGTTCTCTTTTATATATTCAAAGAAGGGAATATTCCCTTCTTTATCATATATTTAAAGAAATAATTATGTTCTCTTTCATATATTAAAAGAAGGGAATACTCCCTTCTTTATCGTATATCCAAAGAATTAATATATTTCCTTTTCTTATATTTTCAAAGAAAGGAAAACGCCTTGATCCATTAAGAAGTTTTTCTATTCTTTTTATATACGCGAAAGAAGATTCCAGGAGTGACTATAATAAACAAAAATAGGCAATCTAATACATGACATACTTTTCCAGTCGTAAGTAACATTCGCACCGATCCGAGAAAAATAAAGTTTTGTTTTGATGACCGAAAAGTTATTCCTATTTCCAATTAAACACATATAATCTCATAGTGATAGCAATGTTTAACATATTTAGCCGGGTTTTAATCATACAAATGCAAATCGCTAGCTTTCATGCTAAGAAATACTGGTTTTTGAGTCAAAAGTTATTATACGTCGTTTGGTGGCCCCTATTGTTACTTAAGTCAAAGTGTATATACCAGGATATTCGGGAGTAGTAGTGGTGTTGCCATGTGGTACACTGAAAAATTGCAATAGCAGGTTAGTCACCAAAGTTTTCGAGCCGCTCCGTCTGTCACTTCGTTTGTGATATTACATCCAAACTGTTGTAACCAGGTCAATCCATCGGTTGTGTAATATAATTGTCCCAGTAAGGTATTATAGAACGAATGAACTTTATTGCCTTACTGGGATAAGTCATCCATACTTCTGAGGGCTGTATTAAACCCTTATCGAAATATGTTTTCCTTTTATGAAATGGACCCTAGATGGACCTTACAGACTTTCATAACCATAACCATTAATGTTCTCAAACCATAAGTAAAAACGTTCAAATATAGTTTTCTTTTCGAAAATGTATGGAGAAAACAAGAATTTTGAATGGTAATGGTTCTTAACAACCCATTATTTGTGAGGTCCGCTTTCAAAAAACAATAATACATAAGGTTAAAACTTTATCACACAAACGTTCATGTAAAGTTCCATAACCATTTCAGTTAAAGTTTAGGAGTGATTATAAACAATTTATAATTATTATCGGTAAGGTCAAGTTATGGTTCGCGTTTATGCGGGTTGGTTTAAAGAGAGAGAATAAACACTTAGTATAAAAATGGATTATACATCGTAATGCATTTTCTTCTTGTATTCAATCCTAGTATTAACTGGGTTTTTTATGTTTAGCTGTCATTAAGCTTTTATGATCATTTTGAGTGAATTGGAAAACAAAATATATAAGGATACATTAAAAGCTATTTATATTCTTTGTCATACATATTTGCAATACATTTGATTTTAATACCGCTACCATCACCAGATGAGTCATCAAATGTCTGGGCCAGCATGCAGGAGATAAGAAGGGTTTTTTCCTTCAGTATTGCCACTTTACTGAGTTTTCACTCGTTAGTAGAGAAGCAGCCTGAAACGGTTATTAACTTCATATCGTTTCGAATGACCTGGCAGATGTTTCAGTTGAGCATAATGGTGGTACATTGCACATTGTTTTTGTAACCTCTCCAATCGGGATGAAGCAACTAGCGAAGGGATTCTTCGTCTTACACGCCTGTATCCAACACGTAAAGTCGAACCGTTGATGGATGGTTTTCTGAACCGCTTCTCCGTCATCGTCCTTGAAAGCACTTTCTATCCGACGCAGAATTCTAAACGAGTGACAACAATCAACATTTCGATCCTTCCTGAGGCTCACTTATACCACCGACGTAGTTGTTGGGTTCATGCTCATACGGGAAATCATCGCTGAAATAGGTAGAGCTCAACCAAATGCATTCCTACAAAACGGAATAATATTTTTGTAATTTGTTTTTTATTGCATTTCTAAGTTACTTACAACTGAAAATGGTCTCTTATTCGGCGATTTACTGTGGAAATACTCGGGAAAATAAGCCTAAAAATCCTCGTTTTACCTTCCATTTATCTTTAATATCTTTCTGGAACTCATACGGAAAAGTAATGTTTTGACGTTTACAGTCCACGTATTCAATCTAGTATAAAAACGACGGAATTTTTATGCAAAACACAGTTTGTTGGCGTTGACGGCGACTCTGTAGCTCTTTACTCCTTTGAGAAAATCCATAAGCAAACGTCAGACTGTGCGTGAAACATGGCGGGCTTTGTACTATCCTTTCACTCCACCGAAAATTCTCATAAGAAACTGTCTATATTTGCTGGAAGAGCAAATTTTTCGACGGTGCCGTCAACGCCAATTCTGCGGTTATATAATTAATAAATTTTAATCTAGCTGTGTTACTATTATTTTTGAGTGTACGCATGGCCCACACTTATTTCATCCCCGCGCTCTTTTAAAGTGCGGAGTCCAGTAAGGTGCAAAATGCGCAATACACTGGAGTCGCTTTTTACGCGGGTGATGCGTACCGCGTAAAAAAAACCGCGTAAATTCCGGAATCCGCGTAAAAAAAAACCGCGTAAATTCCGAAATCCGCGTAAAAAAAGACCGTGTAAAAAAAACCGCGTAAAAAGCGACTCTAGTGTATAATGATAAACCGCGTAAATTCTGATATCCGCGTAAAAAAACCAAAATCCGCGTAAAAAAAAACCGCGTAAATTCCGGAATCCGCGTAAAAAAAAAACCGCTTGAATTCCGAAATCCGCGTAAAAAAAAACCGCGTAAAAAAAAACCGTGTAAAAAAACCGCGTAAAAAGCGACTCCAGTGTAATTAGTTTAATTTTTTCTGAGTGTATATTGTTGAAAAGGTTATTGTCAGTATATTGACATGCGGTTTGGATGTGGCCGGTCACAAATTGTGCATAATCTCCCCTGAAAAGGTACGTCATTAATGCATGATCATCACAAGGGTGTTTTCGAGACAGGCTATCGCGAAATTGTTCGGACGCACAGCGCACGGAACGGCTCAGCAATTAGCTAAAGACTATTAAACAAAAACAGTTGGATTAAGCTTTTGTTCAACTTCCACGGAACGGTAGCACAACTACGGCTGTTCAGTGGAAGTTGTCCACTCGGTCTTAATTTTAGAACGCTTGTTGTAAATTATTTATATTATTAGTATCGAATTACCAAACAACAACCAACTTTAGTCCTATTTAAGCGATGTCTTAACACCCCTGGTAGAGTTTAACATAGGTATAGCATTGGCGTTCAAACATAGGTTATAGCACTACATTAACTTCAATTTCAATTACATTTGTCACGATTTGTAGCTTTTTTTTTAGTTTTCCGTAAAGTGAGTGTCTTTCAAAAAATGTATTCTTCCTTGACCTGGTAAAAAGTGTCAACTATCACAGAAATTCAAAACAACCCAAAATTAAGTTCTTTTCACTCATCTCCCATGTTCCGTACGATAAGCCAAATTTGGGTAAACCGGCTCAAAGTAGTTTGCATTTAAGCACGGCAAAAAAAATTACCCATCGCTAAGTTATTTTCAATTTTTTCTACCCAAAATTAAGTTCAATTAACTCAAATTTGGGTATATCGCATATTACTCAATTTTGGCTTCTTGTACGGAACTAGACGGTTGAGTCGAATCTTTCGTTCTATTTTTGACAACAATAGCGAGAGGAAATGAAACGGACAGAGGTCAAATAACTCAAATTTGAGTTTAAAAAACCCAAGCGGTGGGTAGTTTTGTTTTTCTGTGTACAGACTAACGTACACAAACGAAGTGACAGACGGAGCGGCTCGAAAACTTTGGTGACGCACCTGCTATTGCAATTTTTCAGTGTACCACATGGCAACACCACTACTACTGGATTGTACCACATGGCAACACTACTACTAGATTGAACTAGCATTTTCACCAAATGTACTAGAATGTTTTGGTTCTATCTCTTTCACTCTACTCAAAACTGAAATGCATAAAAAATGACAAAATGATACGCACTCTTTGCACACTGTCAAAGAATCATTGTACACAAAATCAACTTTGTTCAAATCAAAACAAAAAAACTAACCCATCTGGTGGATGATGTCATAAGCTTCCAAGAAAATTCTATTACAGTGAACCACATTATTTAAATGGATTTCTTCGCCAGTTAGTCGTCTGTCACTTCGTTTGTGCTAACGTATCACTAAATAAATACAAATACAAATATAAATTACCTGGGAACCATTTCATCTTTTTGTTCTGCATGTCCGAGACGGCCAATTCCTCCAAAGCCCCAGCTGAAAGCTCTGTTTTTGGAATCAATTGCAACCTAAATATAAATTCAACATTAGAGAAAAAAAATCATTTTAAACCATACGCTAACAATACCGTATGGTTGTTTCCACTGGCAAAATCGACAATTTTGACGTCGTCTGTTGGTGTAACATGACCATCTTTTGTTTTTTCGACATACAGCACAATTTTTTTCGGAGACGTTTCGAAGTGGAATGACATTTTTGTGGATGTGATGAAATACTTTCCTTCTGTATTATGACCCAGTTGACCATACTCAGGCAGTCCGAATGAATACAAGTTACCTTTTATGTCTAATATCATCGAAAAATCAGCGCCACATCCAACTTTTATTACTGGTGGACCAGCATAGTTCAAACGAGTAGCTTTCAATATAGTTGGCTGTGTATTACCAACACCACATTGACCGCTTTTGTTGTCACCACAAGCGTAAACAATTCCTGTGTCAGTTAAGAATAAGGTATGATTCCTTCCACATGCTGCTTGGATAACATTCACATCTTCTAAGCCGCTAACGGGTGTTGGTTTTTCTAATGCCTTTAAATCGGCTTGCCCCAGTTGACCAAACTGATTACGTCCTATGCAAAAAAGAAAAGAAAATGAATAATAGTATTGTCTGATGTAAATTTATGTCACCCCCCTTAAAAAGAAAAAATTTACCCAAGTAATCCAATGTACAGAGATTCGCGGAAATATTATCAGACGATTTAGCAAGTTCTGTTTATAAAAGCCGAAAACACTTGCCGCGGAGCAAAATGTTTCAGCTTTGTACATGTCTATGCTATAGAGATTGCTAAAGTATGATTGTGTCAGTGATTTGTTTTCATCGGGAAAATTTTCCGCTATGATAAAGTGACCAGATATTTTCCGGGCTAATGCGGGAGGCCCTGTCCATAATACTGAGGATGAATAAAAGAACAATTTTTCTAAGGAAAACAACAATTTATTTATTTTAACAAATCTTATGAAAATTTAAACAATTTTTCGGCTGAGTGCACCTTCTTAAGCAAAACATCATTTTATGAAATCATCTTATAAAAACTATCACAAGTCTCATCAAAGTTTTGCCTGACCTGTAGTACAGATTACAAAGTATCAACGGTTAGTTGTGTCTTTTCAGTGGTCCAAATTTTGTTAACTACAGAAAAAACTCGCTCTGTAACAGCATTAGTTCCTGGAAGACACAAAGCAAATTCTACTATCTTTCTGAGGTTTCTAATTGGAATGCCATTTCTGTCGAAATAAATAAATATCTCTACCCATCTGTTCAACTTTTGTGTTGCTCTCTTTCCAACCCTTAATTTTGTCTTCATCACTGTATTTCTTAATATAAGCTACTTCGTCGAAAAGGTCTCGCTCATTTTTATCCGCCTCAAGTAAATCATTATTTCCGCTGATGCAGTGTGCCGTAGTTGACAAAAGTTTTGTTGTTGTTGTTATTGTTGTTGTTCCGATTCATTTTGTTCCTTTTTCTTGAAATGTCATTTCATACCCTTCAGTATTAGTCGAACCCTTTAGAAATGGATCTAAAATGATGCGCGCTCTATCTGGTGGAATTGAAAATAAATAAGAGTGCACTAATTTTCATTTTATAATCACTTTTCAAATGCGGGACGATTTCCGGGACATTTGGTAATCCGGGACGTTTCCGGGACACTTGTAAATGTGGGACATGTAGGATAAATCCGGGACTGTCCTGCAGAATCCGGGACGTCTGGTCACTTTACGCTATGAAGTTTTTTTTTCCCGATGAAAACATTTTGCGTATACGTTATACGTGACCTACGTGACGTAGTGTGCGTACGATAAACGTCAGCAATCTCTATGAGTTAGTTTGTTTACGTTGTCTGAATTCTCATTGACGAGTGCACGGATGGATTTTAGTTCACTCACTCTACAAAAAGTGACACAACAGCGGGCCCTGTTTACTAAAAATGAACACATATGTGTTCATTTTTAGTAAACAGGGCCCCGCTGTTGTGTCACTTTTTGTCGAGTGAGTGAACTCAAATCCATCCGTGCACTCGTCAATTGAACAGGTGCACTATTTTTCCTTAAATTTACACACATAGATTTTTTTGCCGAGAAGGGCACCACCGAGCAGCTCGACATTTTATTTTGCTGGATCTCAGTGAAAAACTTGCCAAGATTCAGCTACGGAAATTTTGCCGAGATCTCAGCTAACAAACATATACATTTTGCTAAATCTTGGCAAGTTTTACATTGAGATCCAGAAAAATAAAATGCCGAGCTGCTCGGTGGTGCCCATCTCAGCAAAAAATCTAAGTGTGTAGAATAGCATTTATTTAATATGAAGTACATTGCCCTGTTTTGCCCTAACCGCGGTCGTGGATTTGCAACAAAAAGTGTAACAATGTGAGTTTTACTAGTTTCCGCCAGCGAGAGGGAACCGAAATCACCGACACCAATAAAAACAAGTGCGCGGGTATTGCCGAGCAACGCGGGTGGCCCACACACTTAAATTTTTTCGCCGAGATTCCAACAGCCGATAATTCTGCAATTTGTTTTGCTGAGATTCAGTGAAACATTTGCGGAGACTCAACTAACAAATTACATTTTGCTGAGATATCAGCTAACAAACAGATATTTTGCAGAGATATTAGCAAAAGTAAATGCTGAGGTTATCGGCTGTTGGAGATTTTACTGAGCTAGATTAAGTGTGCAGGAAAGGGCGAAATCATCTAGTGCGAATTGGACTTTTTGTTGCACGACTGTTTATCGTTGTCGGTGCATTTCGTTGAATTAGCCAATTCTCGGAGTCATTAGAACTAGGTACTAAAATCTGGTGGTTACCCGACATGGAGCCAGAGGCTGCCTTCCCCACACACTTAATCTAGCTCAGTAAAATCTCCAACAGCCGATTACCTCAGCATTTACTTTTGCTAATATGCTCAGCAAAATGTAATTTGTTAGCTGAGTCTCCGCAAATGTTTCACTGAATCTCAGCAAAACAAATTGCAGAATTATTCGGCTGTTGGAATCTCGGCGAAAAAATTTAAGTGTGCACCTTAGTGGACCCCGGACCCTCTAATCAAAGGAACAGGGAATACACCGGACGCCGTTTACCTCAATGGGAAGATAAAGATGGTGATTTCGACAAGTTAGTGATAATGCGTATGGAGGTGACCAAGGGCGAACTCCCTAAGGAGCCCTTCCTGCTGCGTAAGTCTGTCGAGACTTATCTTGGAGTAAAGGTTGAAAGTGCGTACCCTGAAGCCCGTGGTATTTCCTACGTTCTCAAGATGAGGAATAAAAATCATATTGACACACTACTCGAGATCGACCAGCTCGCCAACGGTTTCGGCATTAAGATTTCCGAGCACCCTGTCTTGAGGTTCTCAAAGTTCGTCATCAGTTGTGCAGAATCAATGGAATACTCAGACGAAGACATTAAGACGAACCTGCAGAATCAAGGGATAACTGCCATCAGGAGTATACAAAAACGTGGCGTAGGCGATAATCGAATTAACACCCCGACAATTATCCTCACCCTTGAGGGTACAGTCAACCGGTGGAAACAAACGATTTTAAATTGGCTCACCACTTGACTAGCCTTTTTGTAGTCAAGCGTACCCCATTCTAGTGGAAATTCTAGAACTACACTATGTGTCTTTGGTTTCTTTTGATTCGCTATGAAAGTTGGACAGATAAAATAAGGGGTTCGTGGATTTTCCTATGTTTCGAGGGGTTCGATTAGCTTGGGACCGAAGAGTACCAGAGCTGAGCCAAAAAGTTAAACACGTTTCTTCGGGACCTTTTGGCCTTAGGTTACCTCTATGATAAAGCGGTCCCCAGTACATTGATTTCGGGTGAGTTCGGTGCAAGACACTGCCGTGCTATCCTTCTCCAATGCTCTGTTATGCGTGCTTCGATTTTAGACATACTCGTCTTCATTGTCAACAACCTGCTCCTTTCTGGTAATTGTTCCGGCCAGCATGATATTTTGAGGATAACGCGTGCACGTTGGAGGCTTTCTGTATGCGGTGCAAATCGAATGACCACCAATTGTTCAGACGAAAGTGCCCTACTTACATGAAGGAAGAGGAGATCCAACTATCCGCCAGAAAAACGAGTTTACGAGCTAAAATACACAAAGAAATCTTCTAGAAGTCAAACTCGCTTCCAAAAATCGAGAGAGAGCTAGCATACTAGACACGTACCCTACCAACGATACCACTAACAAAAAAAAAAAATACTTTGAGCTCACGAAACAGAAGGCAGTGAAACCAACTCAGCTCACACAACCTCAACAGTCAAAACCAACACCAAGAAAAAAACAAGCTGAGTTCATCCCAGGTACCGAGTCCGAGTACCAACAACTTGAAGCGCAACCGACCAGCGGTAAGAAGATTAAGAAACAAAACAGTGACGAGACAGATCCAAAACGATTAAAGAATGGCCCGGACACCGAAATTATTATTATTATTTAGCTTTATTAAGGAGGCTTTCAGCCTTGGGCTGGTTCGCCTCCAATCACACCGAAATTAAAACTTCTAAGCTCGGAGAAGAAATCAGTCATAAAATCTGCATCTCCTCTGGATAATGCAGGAGGACGCCGAGGCCCCGTCGGTGCGGACATCTCTCGTCACCTGGTGGCCACCGGAAGATGGACGGAAAAGGAAGTTACCTCCTATACCCTGAGGACAACGTGGGAACGACGACACCTTTAATTGATCAGCATCAAAACAACAGCAAAGAGTTATGGAAAATTTTGAAATCTTTATTAAAACCTAGTAATTGCAACCGCGGTGCAAAACTTTTAATGGCACATTAGAACAATCAGAACAAGTAATTGCATCTAAGTTTAATGATTATTTGGTCGAAAGTGTTACATTGATCAATCAATCCATTGAATGGTCGATGAACCTGACGAAATAAAACAGCCAGTTTATAGTAGTAGTAGATTTAAGAGTTTTCACCCAATTACATTAGATGAACTTAGAGTTATTTGCTAATGTTAATGCTAGAGTTATTCAAGATTGCTTTCATGTCATTGGCCACATCTTTCTGGACCTTATTAATAACTCATTGCAGAATGGACATGTGCCACAAATTTGGAAGGAATCCTTAGTTGTTCCTATTCAAAAAGTTGCTGGAACGATTAAAGCAGAAGAGTTTCGTCCTATCAACATGTTACACACATCAGAGAAATCAGTTGTTAGCAACTTTTTGTTGATACCAGAATAATCAGGATATCGGGAAGGTCATTCTTGTGAAACTGCATTGAATTTGGTGTTAGAAAAGTGGAAAGACAACTTAGAGGGTAAAGATACGACTGTTTTTTTTTGGATCTGAAACGCGCTTTTGAAACAATTTCTAGGCCCTTACAATCACAATCAAGCGTATTGTAGCAGCCCGTAAGCACAAACGAAGTGACAGACGACTAACTGGCGAAGAAATCCATTAAAATAATGTGGTTCACTGTAATAGAATTTTCTTGGAAGCTTGTGCCATCATCCACCAGATGGGTTAGTTTTTTTGTTTTGATTTGAACAAAGTTGATTTTGTGTACAATGATTCTTTGACAGTGTGCAAAGAGTGCGTATCATTTTGTCAT